CTTTTCTTTCTAAAGTGAAGCAAACATTTATCTTTTGAAATGTGTTTTTCTGGTCAGCACCAAAGGTCCACAGATCGCATATGAACGCAGCTTTAGGTGGAAGCTCGCTCACTTCCGCTACCTTTGCCAGGTAAGTGCTTTCTTTGTTTGATCTCCCTTTCAGAGCTGCGTTCCCTCTGCTTCTCCCTTGATGCTCATTTCTTGTCTTTCAGTCTAATGCCCTCCCGAGTCACGTAAAGATCAACGTCTCCAGACAGGCGCTGTTTGAGGACTCCTTCCAGCAGGTAGAAGCTTTAATCTGTTGCTGCTCTGCTGTTCAAACCTCAGTTGATCTACATTGATTACTCCATCGTTTGTAGCATGTTTATTTTTTCTCACCTTTCTCTTCATATTTGTGTCTAAACTTAGGGAAAGTAATTTATTCAATCTTGTGTGTCTGTTTCGCACCTTGTCAGATTATGGCGCTGAAACCATACGACTTGAGGAGGAGGCTGTATGTGATCTTCAGAGGCGAGGAGGGTCTGGACTATGGTGGCTTAGCCCGGTAATAAAAACTAGATCCTTGTACTTAAAAATGGTTCCAAAAATTAACTGTTTTTGTTTGTATTTTTGCCAAAACACCAACATTGTTTTCTCTCTCCTGTGTTTTCTCCTCTGTTCTCCCTCCAAACTTAACAGGGAGTGGTTTTTTCTCTTGTCCCATGAAGTGCTGAACCCCATGTACTGTCTGTTTGAGTACGTTGGCAAGAACAACTACTGTCTGCAGATCAACCCGGCAGCGACCATCAACCCAGATCACCTCTCCTACTTCTGCTTCATAGGCCGCTTCATTGCAATGGTACATCCAGAAGTTGATTCCGGAACTACTCAGGCTCGTTATTATTTGTTTGTTCTGCTCAGCTCAGAAAAACTGGTGATGTTGATCTTTGTTGTTATTTCTGCAGGCCCTTTTCCATGGGAAGTTCATTGACACTGGCTTCTCTTTGCCTTTCTACAAACGAATGTTGAACAAGAAGCTCATCCTTAAAGACCTGGAGTCTATTGACCCTGAGTTTTACAACTCACTCATATGGATTAGGTAAGCTTAATGTTTCCTCTAGCTTTGGTCAGTGTCAGCAGGACTAATGTTGTCAGGGGTCAAAAGTAAAGAAGAAACTTTGGTCCAACCTGTTTTTCCATTTAGTTTTTTTTTTTATTCATAAAGGTTTGATTAAACAATGCAATAATGACACCAAACCTAAATTTGAGGCCTAGGTTTTATTTTCCCCGTCTAGATATGTAAAAAGATAATGGAGCAGAGTTCAAAGGTTGAAGGTCTGTGATGACTGGGATTGAGCATGATTGCTGGTTGCATTTGCTAACAAGCAAAGCAAAATGGCACTTTACACCTGCATTTAGCTTCGACCTGAATTGGTTTTAATCCCTTTCATTTAAGTACAGAGAGTGTCCCAACTTTAGAAGAAATTTAAAATTTGAAGTTAAACTTTTCCTTGACAGTGTCGTTTCTAAGTCACCAATTTAGTGCTACTTGGTCCCAATGTCATTTCCCATTGGGAACCTACTAGCACTAAGTTGCTAACTGGTTAGCAATGTGCTTCCGAGACACTGGCCACAATCAAACTTGCTTGCGATTGTTCCACCACAACAATCCCGCCCCCTTGATAATCAACCAATCACATCCACTTTATTCATTTGTGTAAAGTCGTGCACCATTTGGCAGAATTCAGAAATGCAACAGTTGGAACAGCCGCTTCCCTACAACTTTAAATCCTCAGCACCATTTACTGCAACTTAGTTCCACTTAACTTTACATGGAAGTAGTGATGTTTTGCTTTTGTGGACAGAAGAAAAAACAGATTTACATCATTGTTCCATTGTATATTATTATGTTAGTGGGTTTTTTTTTTTTTATGAAACAGATCCTGAATTAACTAAAACAAAAAATTATGAAGTATAAAAAAGGCTCTGGTCTCCCTCCAGAAGGGGAGCCATGGATTAAGACGAAGAAAAGAAAAAAAAATTCCCTTAGGAAACAGAAATTACTGGTCGAAGATGAGTTAGGTGGGGTTTAATCATGTTGGCCATACCTTGACCTTTGCATAATATAATCTATCATCAGTGTCGCTTTAAGAACCACATTCAAATACCGCCCTACAAACAGATGATCAAGTACACTCTTCTGTGGATTCTTCTTCGCTAATATTAGGAACCTATTCTATATCTATTTCTTGTCTTCGGACTTGACATTAAAACTAGGATTGAAAATAACGAATTTTAAAGAATGCAGGAGAACTGAAAGATTAGAAACAGTTCTGGTCAATAATGGATTCACGGTAGCAGCCAGTACAACTTGCCAGATTGCAGAAATACATTAAAACCTCGCTCTGTTACTGATCTGATAACTGACCTTTAAACTCCTTAAAGGGTCCTTGAATTGGTGTTTCTACCCTGTGTAATTTTATTTTTCCTTTCATAGAGCATAACTGAGTAGAAAAGAATAGAAATCGGAAGCAAGTATTGAATAATTTAGTGCACAAGCTTGATTACATCCTAATTTTATGCAGCACCACTTCATGCAGCCTATAGAGGGGATTCCGAGCACTAAGACTGATCAGAGCTTCTATCCTACAACATTTAGATGCGTCTGCAGAGCTGGATGAAGGAATTAATGCTGACGCTCAGGGTGTCATGGATCAGGAATGTTTTTTGAACATTGCAGGATAGTAGCTCTCAAGCTTATATTGCACCGAAAAGGGAGCCAGAGAATAACTTGTGTTCCTACTCTGTTAACCTGCAGCAGCAACTCTGCCTCTTCTCTCCTCAGGGACAACAACATAGAGGAATGTGGGCTGGAGATGTACTTCTCTGTGGACATGGAGATCTTGGGGAAGATCTCTTCACACGACCTGAAACCTGACGGCTCTGAAGTTCTGGTCACTGAAGGAAACAAGGAGGAGTACATCAGGTGATCTTCTGATACCAGCAGAACTGTAGAAGCTGTTAGTGCTGTGAGGAGCCTAACATGTTCTGGGTGGTTTGCAGTCTGATGGCAGAGTGGAGGTTTTCCCGTGGGGTCGAAGGTCAAACCAAAGCTTTCCTGGACGGCTTCAATGAGGTGGTTCCACTTCAGTGGTTGCAGTACTTTGATGAAAAGGAGCTGGAGGTGAGCAGAACCACCTCGTTCAGAACCAGCTTAGACTTTAGTGCATCTTTACTGGATTAGTTTTCTGAGGCTGTTTGTTTTGTATGTGTGATGCAGGTGATGCTGTGCGGCATGCAGGAGGTTGACCTTCAGGACTGGCAGAGGAACACGGTGTATCGTCACTACACCAGGAACAGCAAACAGATCATGTGGTTCTGGCAGGTACTGTTGCTTTGGGTCAGATTCCGCCGCAGCATCGTCCATTAGCGTCAGTCACTGATGGTCGTTTGCTGCCACTTTGCCATTCTTGCCAACACTCCTGATTTATATGGAAGACTTATGATTTTTTTATGTTATCTCCCGCTGAGCTATCAGTCTCCTGCTAAGCTCCCAATTTTCGGTGAGGGAAAAAAGTAAACTTGTAATGGATATATATGTCACAATATCTGACAACCCTTTACAGCCTGCCGAAACAGAAGGCGTTTTTTTTTATTTAGTTTTTACAGCATTAGTTGTCTTTTTTTCGACAGTACACATGCGGCAAAGGACCACAGGTCGGATTCGTACCCGGATCAGTCGTATCAATAATTAAGGCCTCCGCACATAGGTCGTATACACTAAACACTGCGCCACCGAAGCACGCCCAAGTTGTTGATGTTTTGTTTTTTTTCCCCGGTACATGGCAAGAACCAAGTAATCCTTTAGGTGCTTACTAAATGTGTTAGTGTGCATCTGCCTTATCATTTAATCTTCTGGTATTTATTTTAACAATTAAAACAGCTTTTCTTTTCATTGTCCTTAAAGATTATTAATGGAATGTCAAAGAAACAAAAACTTCAGAATAACTTTCTTTCATCAGGTTTAAAATACAAGGCAAATATTTAACATTTGGGCCAAAACACATCTGTAAAAACCTGATTCTTCACAATCCAATTTTAGAAAATGTATTTTGCTCCCTGACAGCTGGTGAAGGAAGTGGACAATGAGGTGCGGCTGCGGCTCATGCAGTTTGTGATGGGGACCTGTCGGCTCCCTTTGGGCGGCTTTGCTGAACTTATGGGTCAGTGACAGAATCAGATCCACTAGGAGGAGCTGGCTAACACCTGAAAGCTTATAGTTAATGATTTCTTCTTGCATTGCAGGAAGTAACGGACCTCAGAAGTTCTGCATTGCGAAAGTGGGGAAGGAGACATGGCTTCCCCGTAGCCACACATGGTCAGAACCAATCAGATTCCTGCTGATGATTTATAGTGAAAAGCCTTTAAACTGTGGTTTTCTGTCAGTTTTATTGAACACTTAGAATTATCTGTTTTTTTTGGTCCTTTTGCGGTTTTAATTTTGATAATACTACACCCTTTATTACTACCAGTGTTGCCCCTTGCTCACACTGGCTCCGGTACGGTTACCGAGCCGACGGAGA